TTTAAGGCCAAACTTGCAGCTACACCACCAAGCCAATAGTGGTCCCCAGTGAGTCCATCTCCAGGGCTTCAATTGTGTTGCACAAGGCAGCAAGCAGCTAGACAGCTCTTTGAAATATCAAGTTCACAATTGTTCCTGACAAACTGGCATCTAGCTGAGCTAAGTAAGCTGTCTTCAGATGGGTAAGCATACATCCAAGCTGGCCTTGGTGGATGGGGGTGGGGTGGGGGTGGTGGGCAGTTGTCCTGTTGCAGAATACCGGTGCTCAGTTCGCTTTTATTTTATTCCCCATTTCTGTTCAGTCTGGATGTAGGAGATTCCAGATGCAGCCAAACTGAAAATGAACACTGCATGTCCCTCGAACTCACGTATAGGTAAGGTAGGGGGCCGTGAGGTTTTCTATGTGGAGGACAGACAGTGTTGACAGGGGTTAAAAAAATGATTTGAACATTTATTTGGTAACCAGCAGGGGGTGGCTGCCATGGGTGTGACTCTCTAAACATTCTAGGTTTTCTTCCTGAGATTATGATGGGGGTGAACCTTCTTGCTAACTTGCTGTAGAATGGGCCCATACCACTTGCTTGCGTGTGGTGGATGCTGCTTTGGGTGAAAGCTTGGAACGCCTGGCGCCTGCCCAATAAGTCATGCTTGCGATTTCCCTTCTCTACAGTCACCGGCAACGTTCCTTCCACTGGTCTTTGGCCCCAGAGTGAGAAATGACACAGACATAAGTCTGCAGTGACCCATGTCAGCTATGTAGCAGGAAATAAAATATTGCCATTTTAATTCATTGGGATTATAATTCGTATCTTAATATCAACAGCCTGACCAGGACTTTCACCATCACTTGGGCTGTAGCGAACTAATTCAATGCAAAGCATGGCACGGGGCTGTGGAGGACTAAAATCCCACACCCTGTGCGTCAGAGTGCGTGGTACTGTGCAAGGGGAGTGGCCTTCTGGAGGAAAGAGGGGCTCACGGATGTGGGGGCGGGCGGTTAGTAAGGTGGCAAGAAGTCCAGACCAGTGTGCAGAGGAGGCTGCAGCCTGGAGTGAAGGTGTGCAGGAGGCGGCAGACGGTGTCGAGCAGGGGCCCGGTGGAGGCAGCAGTTACGGAATGAAGAGCCCAGGGCGGGGATGTTGTGAAGGTCACTACCTGCAGGTCACTTGGAGGTGATAACGGGCACAGGGAGGAAGCTGGGAGGGCTCTGAGGTTTGCCTCAGCAGTTTCCAGCAAATGCCCTGACAAGAGGCAAGGGCAGTTGTGCTGGTTGTCAAAGCAAGGGCTCCATGTGTCTCTCTTCGGGTTCTCTCCCTCAGGGGAGATGGATGGGACAGTCATGCCTGTTGGCATGTTTTCAACTTTGTCTTCTATGCTGACACGCGGAGAAGCCTGGTGTAGATACGTAAGTTTGAGCCTGGAGTGTTCCCCTAAGTTTTTTTTGTGTTAAAATCTTGGCCCAGACACACAGGTGGATCTCTCTCTCTCCCTCTCTCTCTCTCCTTCCCTCTCTTTCCTTTCCTCTCTCTCTCCTAGGTGAGCAATTCTTCTCTGTCTCACACAGCCATCATTTGCTGTTTTTCCGCAAGCCCTAGCATAAGGGAATCAACCAGTCATGGGCTGAAACCTCCAATGAGCTAAAACAGAACTTCTTTCTTGATTAATTGTCCCTGGCATTTGTGCAGGTCTGGTAGACATTATAACACAGCAGCCCTTGAGGAGAGAACAATGATTTTTGATATGTGATATGGGAGACGAAGGAGAGATGAGTGACTCATCAGATCCATGGGACCTTGTGAATTTTCACACACCACTTCAGAGGCATTTATACAATCTAAACACGACACTCGGCAGACAGACCACGAGTGTGTTAGAAATGTCTGTAAGTGATTCAGGCCATGTACTTCCCTAAATGGTTTCTCTCCCCCAAGCAGCTCTCAGCTCCAATGTAAGCTTTCCTGAAACAGTGTGTGTGTGTGTGTGTGTGTGTGTGTGTGTGTGTGTGTGTGTGTGTGTGTGTGTGATGCCAAGCCATTGCCCTTTGATCTCTCCTGTTCCTTCCGTAGCCCTTCCTGAACTTCAGTTCTTCCCTCTTGGACGACTTTCCACCCCACCTCTACCTTTGGAACGGGATTACATGCGTTTCCTTCATCCCCTGGTCTCCCAGGGACACCCCACAACTGGACCAGATAGATTCCACGTAGCACCATCAGACTTGGAGGAGACAAGATGTAATCCCAGCATCCTCTGGGGGAGGTGGCAACAGTGAACTCTTTTTGGCTTCCAGGTTCAGAGGTCAGGGATTAGAAGTCCCCCAGGTGGGGATCAGCAATCCGGTTTTTGTTTCCCTTTATTGTTCAGTGCTGCAGTTCATACCCAGGGCCTCAGGCAAGGGAACGACTGGCTATTATCAAACCCCCAAGACAGCCAACTTTGAGGACGGCTGGTCTAGAGTCATCTGAAGACATAAATAATCTGCCTTCACCAGAGAAACGAGATTTGGGAAGTGCTTGACTCAAAAGAGACTGGGGAGGCAGGCATTGCACTCACTTTCCTTTGGCCTGTGTTTGCTTATTTTGTTTTCAACATGAGCTAACTCTCTTTTAGGGAGGGACACACTGTCGTGTGAATGTGAGGGGGCCCCACTACTCAGATATTCAGAAAGCCTCATGGGGATGCCCTCTCTCCCTTCAACATGCTGTGTGGACTAACAATATCACTTACTGTTTGGGGGCCATATTAAAATTTGGGCTTGTGGCCATTGTGGTCACATTCTTAGGGGTCAGTGACTAAGCTCTGAAGTATTGTATTTAAGTAGTGTGGAAACAGAGCTTGCCCTCTGCCAAGCAGGAGTTCAATGTTTAAAAGCATGCACATCCGGCTGAGATGTGCTCAAGTACTTAACAGCCCTGGCTGTGTCTGACTCCAAGCCTACACACTGGCTCACAAACGCCTGTACCTCCAGTCCCAGTCTGGCACCCTCTTCTGGCTTCCTGGGGAACTGCATAATGTGTTACATATACATACAGGCAGGCAAAACATCCATACACAAAAAACAAAAATAAATACAATCTAAAAAAGTTCTAAAAAGTGTGTGTGTATTTTTTCTTTTTAGAGATAAGTTCTCAGTGTGTAGGCTTGCAACTCTAGTTCTTGGGAGGCAGAGGCAGAAAGTGGTTCGAGGCCAGGCTGATCTACATAGAGAGTTCCAGTCCAGCCAAACAAAAAAGGAGCATGTACCATTGATTACAGTTTTATACAGTGTTATTATCCCCCCACACACTAAAGGGTATTCAAGATAGACATCAGGTGGCCTCAACCTTAAACTCAGTGTTCTTATGGGTGATGATTTACTTATTCATTAACCTGCATTCTTTCAATTATTTATGGCTTTCTGCTCAAACTTTATGCTGCTAGTTTGGCCCTGCAATATCCATCTGGGTCCCTGGCAGGACCCTACTGTGTCCATGTGTGCACTGTGCTCATTGGCAGGACACAGTTTGGCGGTGGGGCAGGGAAGTCACATTTTAACAGACGGCCCAGGCCGGGGGTGTCCTGTGGGCAGCATGAGAGAACCTGAGGTGATGCCAGGAGCGCCACAAGGCCTGGAATGAGGCTCGATTCCTCAGCACGGCAGCCTGGACCTGCGGGTTCTCCTTCACTCTGCCTGTTGCTAAGGAAAACAAGCTGAAGACCCCTCACTGTGTCGGCCTGCCCAAAGAAGAGGCCTGCTGTTCCACAAAGGAAGTCAACCGGCAGGCCATGGGTTTCCTCCAAGCTAATTACTGCCTGTTTGCTTGCGAGATGGCCCAGGTCCAACAGCCACCCTATTGCAATCTGAACACCCAGGGTTGGAACATACAGGGCCAAGAGACCAGACCAGAGCGTCATTAGTTCACAGAACTCCAATTCTTTATTCATCACAGCTTGCTCACAATGACATACAGGAAAATAGCACTAATGAAGAGTAAATATGCAGGCAGCAACCTTCGGGAGTTGGGGGGGAAAAACAACTTCAAAACTGCAATAGGTATTTTATGCTGGGTATCTGCTGATTCTTTTCGTTGGCACAGACGCCCTGCCTAGCCCCCACGACTGAGTCAGCTTCACTGGTGGAGTGATTTGGTTTTGTTTATAGGCAGGGTTGCCCTACACTGGGGAGGAAAGACCAGCTGGAGTGAAAGTCCACAGTGTTTGAGATTTTCGTGTTTCTAACGCAACAGCCAGCTTCACAGTCTCCAAGTGGAAAAAATATCCAGCAGCATCATGTGCTTGTACTACAGGCAAAAGCTTAAAATGCACGGTCATCACCCATGGCATCCACAAACAAGCCACCCAAACACGTTAATTAACTCATTCCACCAAAAGAACCGAACAAGAGAAGTAAGCCCGCTTCACGGAGAACGACCTCAGGGCTCCTTGCATTTGTGTTCAGCACTGTAAAAGGTTCAGCCTTTTGCTTCTACCCTGATTGAGCACACATCTGCCTTCCCCACCCACCCATCCCTTTCTAAACCTAAACACATGTGCGGCACGTAGCCCACGGGAAGCAGAAGTAGGTGCTATGATTGGTGACTTTTCCTAGCCTGGCTTCGTGGTTTCTAGGCAGGAAGCAGTTTACGAGCCCACAGGTATGGAGGTTCCCATGGAGACACGGTACCTGCCATCTAGGTGTGGTCTTGGTCAAGCTCAGAGATTGTGAAGTGATGTAGGTCATTAGGCAATGGTGGGTTTCTAGCACCATAGACTGTCTACTGACCTCATTACTGTTTCTGTTGGAATGAAAGGGGCAGGGTCTAGAGCCCTACACGGGGAACTTCAAAAAGAACCAACCTCGCGAATCCAGTGGAAAGACACAACATCGAAAGCCTGTTACAGGACATGTAAGATTATGAAATAACTTGCATAATGCAATACTTGTATTTTTTAACAAAAATGTAAATATTTACAAAATAAGATCCAAGGTACTTTTTTTTTTTTTTTAAACACCAAGCAAAACATTCTGCAAAGGGACCGCATTGATTTTATTTTATTTTTGATTCTGTTTTTTTTTTTGTTTTGTTTTTAATAATGAGTTCTTTTTAAACCATGTCATACACTTCCCATACTGATATCTCATGATCCATTATAATATAGGCAGGGGGATTTACTATGGGAGGGGCGTGCCATGCCGCCGCCGTTGCTTCAGCCAGATAGCTCAACCTGGAGCTCCTTGTTCCTGCGCACCTCCGCAGCGTGCCTCTCCTAGGAAACACCAAAGGCAGAACAGCTCAGTCCACGTGGGCCAGAGAACTAGGAGAGGCCACCCCCCCCCCCAGCCTTTGCTGGACGTGTTTGGTCAGAAGTATCTACCAACGTGTGGTATCTACCAAAGAGGAATTCCTAAAGGAATCTTCTTTACTTCCCAAGGAAAATGTGGGCCCAAGAGACATCACAGGAGAGAAGATTCCAAGTGTCTTTATTACCCTATTATTACCCTATGCAATCCCTCCCCATGTGCCACTCCACGATGGTGATCAGACCCTGGAGCTGGGTGCCTGGTAAATGATAGGCAAGCCTTTTACTGAGGGACTGCACCCTAATCCTGAACTAATATTAACAACAACAACAAAACACTGTTCTTTGTTTATGATCAAAAGGTCAAACGATTAATAAGAAAAATTTGAATATATTGACTTCTGTACGAATTCTGAGACTGTTGGTTTTCACACCATCCTAATTCTCTAGTCCCCTTTGCAGACTATCTTAAGGAATCTGCTCTTGCCTACAGGCACTCTGGGAAACGGAGATCCAGAGAGAAGACATCCTAAAACCTTGTTTGTGAAGCCCCTTCAGAACCTGAGCCGAGGAGTGAGTGTTTCCCTACATTTCCAGCTTGATTGCTCTGCTTGGGCCTTTCTCCCTTCCCTTCATGGTTTCCAACGTATACGAAAGGCCAGTTCAAACCAATTAAACCCTCTCTGCCTCGTGCTCATGGATCCAGGTGTAAGCTCTCAAGATACTGCTTCAGGGCCACACCTGACTGCGTACTGCCAGGCTCCCCCAAAAATGATGCTTATGGACTCTAAGCCTTTGAAATATGAATCCAAAATTAAACACTTTTATACGTTGTCTTGGTCAGGGGCTTTCCTTATGATGATAGAAAAATAGCTAAGATGGTTAGGTATCTCCTGGGATGCTGAAGCTTAATCCCATTAATTAAAAACCCTTCATAGGCTGGATATTTTCAGGGGAATTTCAGGCATGCATGTACGTATGTAAGGTTAGGTCCAACTAGGAGAAAAAGGGGGAGAGGATGGGTAAAGAAAAAGATACAGCCAGGTGGAGGTGGCTCACTCCTTTTATCCCAGCACTCTGGAGGCAGAGGCAGGTGAATCTCTGTGAGTTTGAGGCCAGCCTGGTCTACAGATCAAATTCCAGGACAGCCAGGGTACTTACACTAAGAACCCTGTCTCAAAAAAACAAAAACCCAAACCCACCCCCTCAAACAAACAAAATATTCCCCCCCCAAACCCAAAACCAAAAACCAACAAAAACAATGCATAAAATATTAATTGCTTGTTAAAAGCAACACTTCAAGAAATGCTAATTAAAGTATGCAGATTTCACGAAACAGTTTACAGAGGGATATGCTGTAGGCATGCACGCACGTCATTTTAAAATCGGTGGTGCGCCTAGATCGCTAGTGATGCAGACTTTGCTTTGAATATTCTCATAGTGATACAGACTTCACCATGGATACTGAAGGTGAGGCTGAGTTAGAGAGTGGGATCAGCATATTGCATCTCTGGCAAGTGCACTGAATTTATTTATTTAGGCCTTTGCTGTGAAGTGAAGGCTTTTCCATCGTTCTAGACTCCAACTACGGCTCTCTGCTGTCCATGGTACTGCCGCTGCTGGTGGTAAGCAAGGAGCTCCTCTGAAGAGATGGGCTAACTGAGGAAAATGTACCTAGTTTCGAGATCAGGAAAGCAGATAACATCAAGGGGGCTTTGCTGTCCTGGATCCCGGGTAAGCACATGTTTGGGTGCTATCACATGTGACCTGCATCGAGGTTGAGCCCTAAGTCTGGCTTGAGACATTGGGAGAGACAGGGTGCTGCTCTGAAGGACATGGGCAGCTGCTTATAAATTTTAAATTTGAAAGTTGGCTCTCCTGGCTTCTGCCAAAATCCCTAGAACTTGTTCACGAATCTTCCACAGCCCCAGAGTCTTACTTCTGTTCTGGAGCCTTCGCCCTTCCCCGGCCAGTGTTCTAAAAAACTCATGAAGAACACATTTAACTAACAAGAGTTTTGGGGAAATAATATTTTTAAAAACACTTTAGCTGGGTACAGTGGTACAGGTCTGGGACTGAGGCAGGAGGATTATGAAGAGTCTGAATGTAAATTGTCAGTGCTCAGAGGATGACAGTATCTCTCTGCCTCTGCAGGACCTCACACAATGTAGTTGTGAGGGTGAGAAGTATAGAAGTATCTTTCTCAGGGTTCCTATTTTTCAAGCTTAATCCAGTTTCTGGAAATGGACAAAGCAAAACTCTTCATAGCTTACATTGTGTATTGTTTCAAAGGGAAGCTTTTGGGAGATGTGTGTGTGTGTGTGTGTGTGTGTGTGCGTGTGTGTGTGTTTGCAAGTGTACAGGGGGATATGGAAAAGAACTAAGGACACCAAACGTGATGGAATCCCCCTGCCATGCTCTCATGCTCCAGATTTCTTTACAAAATATTTACTTTAAATTTAAAAGTTTTGTATTAAATATATGTATTGTTTTGATGAAATGTTATTCAGTTTTCTATTAATGTTAAGTATTACAGCATTAATACAATCAGTTAAACATCTACACCTTGGTGTTTTTTTTTTTTTTTTACAACATATTGGTTTGTACAGAAGTCATACACATCTGTGACCAGCCTTCCTGAGTCCCCTGTCCGGTGGAACATTCCAGTGCTTGTAGAACACAGGGTCAGGTCACAGAGCCAAACCACACGATGAGAACATTCCGAGGCTGACTGTCCTCACCTCATTTCCCAGCACGTGGCACGCCCAGCTGTGCTGTGCAGGGACACCCCACCCCAGCTGTGCTGTGCAGGGACACCCCACCCCAGCTGTGCTGTGCAGGGACACCCCACCCCAGCTGTGCAGGGACACCCCACCCCAGCTGTGCTGCGCAGGGACACCCCACCCCAGCTGTGCTGCGCAGGGTTTGCCCCCACTGCCCATCAGTCTGGCGCCCTCACCTTTTCCTGCAGACGCTCGATGATAGCAGCTAGATTAGCCTCACGGTTCTCCTTGATTTGTTCCATTTTCAGGATGAGCTTCTCCTCCGCCATCTTGCTGAAGTTGTTATTCTCCTCCAAAGCCTTCTGGAGGACTTCCCGCTCGTGCTCCCTCTTCTCTGCCAATTGTTTCAGCACCTGAGCCTCCTGGGACTGGGAGGAAGCACACCCGTCTCCAGTTATCTGGATGCCCACTTAGCGGAGTGGCAGCTGGCGCTGAGCCACAGGCATTGTTGCGCTTTCTTTAGAACGTGTTGGTGGGGAATGTGGCTCCCTGAGTTTTCAGCCCTCAGGGGTTTGAGGGTGTCTTAGAAATGGCATTAACTCTCATTGAGGAGTTCCCTCCCTCCCTCCCTCTCCCTCCCTCTCCCTCCCTCCCTTCCTTTTTTTTAAAAATACGATACTGCTAAGCATTTGTGTGGCAGGAAGGACTGCAGTGAGCCACTGGACCACAACCGTCTGTGGGACCTGAAGAAAATGGGAGGACCTGGGGCCTGGGCTTCCTTTTCCTCTGCCCTTGGCTCTAGCCCACTGTTCTCTGAACAACCCTAGGGTGAGCCCTCTAGGAGCTCTTCAACTCCTGTCAATCAGATTCACTTTCTCTTTGTATTCATGCCTGTCCCTCCCCTTTCCCACTCGCTATTAATAAATTCTCTCTGGTGTTGGAGACATGACTCAGTGGTAAAGGCCCTTGCTGTTCTCCAAGAAGACCAGGGTTCAATACCCACAGTATCAGCCAACTGTCCTCAACTCCTGTTCTAGGGAATCCAATGCTTCCCCCTGGCTCCTTGGACACCAGGCATGCACACAGCGCACAGGCATACATGCCGACAAACCATGCATACACATATAACACTCCATAGAGACTTGAAAACATTTACACAAATTTAGTGTTTAGGATCCTTTTAGCCAAGCCAGCAGGAAACCCTGATTCTGGCTGTCACTCTTCACTTGGACACCCATGGGAATTGCTGGAACCTTGTGGTCCGCCAGGAGTGGGGCAGAGCCATTGATGTTAGTGTGTGTATTCTCTCTCTTCGGCAGGTTGTGAGGCTCTCTGCAAACCTGGTCACTGGGGGCTGGATAATGGCAGAGAACCCAGCATCTGCCTGCTGTGACCTATTCCAAGGCTCTCTAGTGGGGCCCCAGGAACCTCTGCTTTTGATTGAAAATTCCAGTGATTCTGTTGCTGGTAGGGTCACAGTTGTCTTCCTACTTGGCACTTCAGCCTCTGAGTGCCAAGACTGAAGGACTGAGCCACCATACCTTACAGTATCAAACTCCCCGTTTGTAGGCCTATGTGGAGGTCAGAGGTAGGATTGGGATGTAACCTTCAACTATTTCTGTTTTATTTATTCACTTTTTTCTTTTCTTTTCTTTCTTTCTTTCTTTTTTTTTTTTTTTTTTTTTTTTTTTTTTGAGACGTGGTCTCTTGCTGAACCAGGAGCCTGCCATTTTGTAGACTAGTTGGCCAGGGAGCCCCAGGATCCACCCACCTGTCTCTGACCCCATTGTACTAGGGCTATAGACAGGTGCCTGTAATTTTACATGGATGCTGGGAATCTGAACTCAAGTCCTCAGCTTGTGCAGCAAGCGTTTTACCCATGGAGGAATCTTCCCAGCCTGGGCACTTGATGTCCTAACCATCCCTTGAGTAGATGGTAGCTTAGGGGCTCTTGAGCTCTCCATACGTCTACTGAAAGTCAGACTTAGGACTCCATTATCGCAGTGAGCTGACAGCTCCGTCTGCCTAACACATCCCTGCCTTTATTCCTTGGAGAAACCAACTTTCCCGTGAATATGACTCAGTCTTGCAGTTGGACCATCTAGGGAGAAGACTGGCTTTGGTTCCAGTATTTGTATCAGTGAGCAAATAAGCAGTAACTTCAGAACATTATACAAAATGGGACATAGAATGAGCGGGAACCGTGATCTGGAAAAATGGAAGCATATTCCTACCTATGTGGGGGGGGGGGGTAAAGTTCTCCCTGTGAGGCGTTCCTACTCTGTGTTGTGATTGGGCAGATTAGCAGGGAGGTCAGTGGGCTGTGTGGGTTTGAATAGAGGTGGAGATTTGCACCCTGGCAAACATGGTTGCGTGTGAAGTATTCAAAGATAAGTCATGGCCTTGGAGGGCCACGGCAGAGGGGATGTTCCTGACGAAGAAGCTCTCTGAGAACTGAAATGGAGAATTGGGCGCAATAGCGGGCAGCTGGTACAAGGCAGACGTAAACCAAGGCAAACACAGAGCTGAGTCATTCAAATGTACTATCGGGGGATGGGAGATCCCTGTCTACCTCACAGTTTGAGAAACGGAGGCAGATTGCCCGTGAGCACCTTTTGTGCTCAACCTCACATAGAACTCGGGATCCCTGGAATGACGATGCTGGAGGTAGACGAAGGCAACGGAAACGAGACAGGGAGAAGAGTTACTGTCCATTTAGGAACACTTGAACATTTTGCAAAGAGGTTAATTAGCATCTCTTATATCACGGAGTCTAAGAGTTTAATTACTGCACAAATGAATTGGATGATAAATCTGAGTTAACTGGTCTATAAAACTCTACTTTACATACACATGAGAGATTTAAGACTACTCTGTAGAGGCCCCCATTTACATCTGAAGTATGCACACTCCCGACACTCTGTCTTCCTGTCACCTTTCATCGTTTGTGGGATATATTGCTTGACACCCAGAGCCCTTCGTCAAACACTAAGTCCCTTAGTTCCAAAGTATCCTTCCCATTAGTAGCAGGGTGGATGCTGCCCTGTACATACCAGACTTTCTGCTAATACTGAAAGAACATTGTTGGCATGGCTAAGGGCAAAAAGAGTCTGACGGTTGAGTGTAGTTGCGTGAAACAAAGACCCCAGCGTTCAGCTCATGCTCAAAAGCTGCAAGTACAGAAGGAGACTTAAAAGACCTGGAGGTTCATGATGAGCTCTGAAGCCTGGGATGGAGTTGCTAGGGCTCCCTCACAGGAAAAAGGGTCTGTGTGCCCTTCCTGCTTGCCAGGGAAACCCCAATACGAAGATTTTATGACCATGAAAGCGTGCTGTCTTCCTGAGTACAGAACTGTGCGTATAGAAGAACTCCCCTTTCCCCCCTATATTCCCTCTCGTGCCATTTACCGACTTAAGACGCCAGCTGCGGCTGACAATCCCCGGAAGAGTATGCACTTGCCTGATGGTTCCGGATAGACTGATTAGGAGGAACTTCAGCGTGAAGTGTCAGAGTATTGCAGAGCTAGGGCCTAACTACAAGTTGTACCGTGTTGTGGCTTCATATTTGGGGACACCAGAAACTGTGCTTCATAACTGACTTGAAGATAATCTTATTATCCCCCATTTAAACTGAGAGTTGTGTTTGTGTGTCGCTACAACTCGTCACTGGAGGGAAAGGTCACGTGTCCCGGAGTTATTGCAAGAATTAGAGGCTCCTCCCCATAAGGAAGAAGCCAGCACTGTGACAGGGTTGGCAACCGTGCAAACTGCGTCTGGCCCTGACCTCACAGAAGTTGTGGTCTGGTAAATGCATGATTTTGTAAGGGAACAAGAGGGACCCATCCTAAAACTTTAGAGCTACAAGGGAAGCTGTTCAGGACAGGATTTGCCTACTAATGGCTGCCTTCCGCATCCTTTCACTTAGAACAAGGACTCACTTCTCTTTCTGAGGTTCACAGGTCCTTAGAGTTCACTGAGCAGTGGGGCTAATACATGGATTAACCCTTACTGGATGGGTTTGAGTGGGAGCCTTTTAATCTGTTTCAGTGTACAGTCTTAACAGGGTCCTAAGTATCACTAAATTTTCATCTTTCACAATATTAATGTTTTCTTCAAGCCAGTTTTAGCTGGCTCCACCTATTTACATATCTATTATTTATCACCCTGGTTATTCTATGTGTTACGACAAAGACCATTTTATATTTAAAATATTTATGAAATGTACTATAGGGCAGCAGTGTTAACCAAGGATCACTTTCCTTTGTAAAATCATTTTTTTTTTTGCTGGACCGTACATTTTGCAAAACAGACTGGGTGAATTTTATGCAGGGATAGGCAATGCCTTTTCCTTCTATGTGTGCAGAGAGTTAACTTCCTCCTCCTCCTCACAATAAGTCTTTTCACAGAGGACAGTGCCTGTTGGGTTTTGTCAGCCTGACACAAGCAAGTCACTTGGGAAGAGGGAATCTCAGTTGAGGAATCGCCTGCCTCCATCAGGTTGGCTGTGGGCATTTTCTTGATGAACGGCTGGCGTGGGAGGGCCAGCTCACGGTGGGTGGGTGATAATTCTCTGGAGCAGGTGGGCCTGGGTTGTATAAGAAAGCAACCTAAGCAAGCTGTTGGGCAGCATTCGTCTGTGGTCTCTGCTCCAGGTTCCTGCTTGAGTTCCTGGCCTGACTTCTCTCAGGGATGATGGTCTGACTTGGGAGTGTAAGTGGAAAGGGCCAGGCCCCTGCCTCCCCAGGATGCTTTTGGTGATGGTGTTTATCACAGCCACAGAAAGCAAGCTAGGATAATGGGCAGGAGAAGGCAGAGTTTAGATGACTGCCAAGGGCAGGAGCTATTGCACAGAGGGACACTCTGATAATCAGTGTTCTTGGGATGGTCTTCTGAAGACGGCCAGACCACAGGTCACCCACACTGGGACATGTGGGAGGGAGGACAGCAGAGTGTGTTGCATCATCCCCTCGGGGATGTGTGGAAGCCTACTTCTGCATCCTCTTGCTATGTGAATGTTGAATGAATGGGCACGGTGGCTGGATGGCCAGCGTGTTGGCACACATTCCCAAATGCGGTCAGTTGCAATATGAAGACTTAAAAAAAAAAATAGACACTGATTGCCAGAGATGAGTCAATAAGGGAGAAAAAGCAAGAGAAAGTTACATTTCTTTTAGAATAAGCTTTGTTAGAATAAGCTTAACCACGGAGCATCAGTTCTGGCTAGAAGTTGCAGTTCCATCCAAGCTATTCACCACATGGCCAGTGCTGTGATGGTGTGCAAGTGGCCTAGGGACCTGGGGAAGCTGCCAGGAAGCTTAGGGAAGCTGCACAGTACATCCAATCCCCTGTGGAGATACTTGGGTAGCAGCCTTCCAGCCCTGACTTCGGAGGGCCCTGTCTGCACAACTCGGGGCCCAGGCCCACAGAGGGATCCTGGATTCCCAGGGACAGGCAACCTAATTTTTTTTTTTTATTCATTTAAAAGAGTAAAAATTTGTAGTGGTACAGCCAGACACTGTTAGCACACACCTTGACCTGCGCGAAGTTTAATGGAGGCTAACGTCAAATAAGTAGTTAATGCAAATAAAAATATGATACATCAATCAATCTACGTGCTGGGAAGGGAGGTGTGGTACACACACCTGGTACGTCATAAGGGTGAGGCAGCCTGTGAACAGAGACTATGGGAAGCCAGGAAGAAGGCGTGGGGCCACAGGCTCTACGTGTTCCTGTGCTGGCCTTCATAACGCAACCAGGAAATCACAGCATGGGGCAGTCTCCATTGCTTATAAAAGTTACCATATCTGCCAGTGTGCGGGGCTGTTCACTTGAGCGGCTGCTGATGGATAGTATAGTTGTAACTCACCGTGGAGTGAGCCACCCTCTGGACTAAAACAGTATGACAAGGGGAAATGTCTTGTTTTCCAGTATCTCTCTATTGATCACCCATTGGTATAGCATTTTAAACACGAGTAGAGTACTAATAAAATTAATTTAACATGTTTCTGTTTTAATCTGACCACTAAAAATTTTTTAGCATTTTTTAACTGTGTTTCTAACTAGTAATGCAGTTTTACGTAGCGGCATGTACTCACAGCTCTTTACATAAAAACAACCACATAGGATGCCAGCAGGCAAAAGAGCTACCCGTATTCAATAGCGTAGGAGCTAAATGATCATCCTAGCTGGCACAGTAACGCTACAGGTTTGCAGAGAACTATGGTACCTGCGGTTTGGTGTCTCTAAGCTCCACCCCATCTTTTTCTGATGAGGCCTTGATTTTCTTTTGCCTCCCCTCCCCAGACATTGCCTAACCACCTCTATGGGGCAGAGGTGGGTGACTGGCCCAAGTTTGAGCATCACACTCCTGTATCTCCTCAGCCGGGTTGCAAGGAAGAGAAGCTCTGTTTCTACCTGGGGATGCCGTGTGGATGGAAAGTGGTTGGGTATTGAGGGTAACTAAACGTGCCCAGCTGTTAGATCAATTACAAGACAATTAGAAGGAAATGTTGGCCTTGGAAGATGACACAGCACTATCTCAATTGAGTTATCCTTATTCTTCAGCCACTCCTGGACTTTTCCATCCTATACCCACTGTCTCCGTTAGTTAGCACAACTGGATTGGGTTATTTGTGCCCCCCACCTGGACATTTACTGAGATGTATATTTCTGCTTCAGGCTCTTTAAAGAGAATGAACAGGGTTTTCACAGGAGTGCTAATTGAGTCAGTGCAATCTAACAGAAAAACAAAATCGATGGATGAATGTTTAAGTTGGTACTTGCTCTTAATTAGCTGTACTTTCTCCTAATTAAAAGTCTGTTACTAGAACATAATCCACACAGCGAGTTCTTCATTGAAAAATTTCCAAAGTGCACAAGGAACGTAATGGTATATTTCATTAAAAAAAAAAGTTCTCTCATTTTTTCCTGAATATCAAAATTCTGGCTGATTCTATTTGTCAGTGTCCTTTGGCTACAGGGTCACTTTCTAGTTTGATTTCATTGATTAAATGACTGTTAATAGTTTACTGCTGCCAGGGTGTAGGAGTTTTACCAGAACCATTGATTAGTTGCCTCAGGGAGTTTTATAAATTAACACCTAGTGAATTTTTATTATCACTGTGTGTTTTTTCTTTCTTTCAGCCACTTTCTGTGAATTAAGTTCAGTAGTTGGAAATGCCATACGTGTGCTTTCTGAACATCAATTTTAGATCAGCCACCGATTTTGTATTCTGAAGCCTGTGTCGACTTTGGACATGTATGTGTGCACATGTGTCCCATGTATATGCCTTCCCGTGTTGTGCTGTGCTGTGCCCATTATATAGAGGATACCTCTGCTGAAGGAGAACATAAATTTCCCCAAGTGCAACAGGCACTTCAAGACAGTTGGTGACACTTACAAATGACAGAAAAAAAGGTAAGGAAAGCTTAGGTTGTGTGCATTTGCTTGGATTAGTATCTCGGTTTCCCCATTTACAACAATATTAATGGTTTATATTGTTTAATACGTTGGCAGACTTTTTTTTTTTTGTAGACAACATAAAAGGAATTACAATGCAGAGTTTCATCCATATTATAAAACTGTGTGTGCAGGGCACTCTCAGTGTCTAAAATACATCATGATAGAGCGAGTGGGAAGGAAGCTCAGTGCAAGCATGAGCCTTGTGAGAGAAGACAATGGGGAGAAATAGAGAAATGCCTCCTGTTGGGACAGATACACCCAGAGCTTCTTCAATACACGGATTCGCTAGGAAATCTTATTGCCCTCAGATTGTTCAGAATATTTATCTTTAATTATGTGTGTGTGTGTGTGGTGGGGTGGGGGTGGCATGTGCGTGCGTATGTAGATGCCTGTGAAAGGCAGAGGCGATAGGTCCCCTTGGGTCTGAAGTTGCAGGTACCATGAGTCCCATGAAGTGGGTGTTAGGAATGAAGCATGGCCCCCCCTATCAGAGCAGTAAGTGCTCTAACTACTGAGCCATCCCTCCAGCGCCTGCCCTCAAATCTCACGGTTTTCTTAGTATCTTACTGTGGGAGATTAAAGGTGTTGGGATAGTGGTCCATTCAGGCATCATTGTCTCTTGGAATCTCTGCCTGCTGTGTGTGTGTGTGTGTGTGTGTGTGTGTGTGTGTGTATGTGTGTGGACTGGAGTGGAGAGGAAGAAGGAAGAAAGGAGAGAATTTGAAAACCTGTGAGTTCGTGGCCAACCTGGTCTACAGAGCAAGTTCCAGGACAGCCAGGGCTCCCCAGAGAAACTCAGTGTCTAAAAACCAAACCAAACAAACAAGACAGAATGTATGAAGAAAGTTACCTTTCTTCTTTCCTCCGCGGCCTCCAGCTTTTTCTGGATCTCCTCCAGAGACAGGTCTTTCTTCTTTGGAGAAGGTAAAGTTCGCGGAGCTTCCGAGATGGGGGATGGCGGCTTTAAGATCAGCTCGAAAGCCTGGCCAGAGGCTCGTTTGTTGATTTGCTTCACCTCCATATCTACGGGAGGGACATTGGAGAGTGTTAAGTGGGCAGGTGAATCAAGCCACCATTTTAATGACCCGGGGTCCAGCAATTGCAAGAGGCATCTCATTCTAGGAGATGGAAACCCAGCACCACACAAAGATAATAAGCTCTGCCTCATTTCCAACATACATGAACTCCCACAGCTCAACAGTGCACACACTTTAACAGTATGCTTTTGCTGATAAATTTAGCAATTTCTGTCATTTGCAACAACATGGATGAACCCAGAGCGCATTGTGTAAGAGCAAGCATAAGGCAAAGATCGCCTGTCTGCATACATACCGAGTGTGATGTGCCTGCGATGTTGTTCAAATAGTATGAAACTTCAGATGGACAGTTAAAATATGTTCACGAGTGGAGTGTGTGTACGAGCAGCTCGCTTTCTGTCACCGTGACAAAACACCATGACCAAAAGCGACTTTGGAGGGAAGGATGTGTTTGGTTTACAATTGCTCACCACAGGCCATCATTGAGGGAAAGCCAGGATAGGAGCTTAAGCAGAAACGTGGAGGGAGGTTGAAACGGAAGCAGAGACCATGGAGGGACACCTCCTTTCCATGGATTGTCTCACACAATTCAAGGCTGCCTGGGCCCTCCTAAGAAACTGCTGAGTAGGCCTGTCCACATGGCACCTGCTTCCCTCCCCTAGGTGGCTCTAGACTGGGTTAAGCTGACAAAAACTCAACCAGCACAATTGTGATCTGCAGTGGTAATAGTAACAACATGGTGTGTCACTGTTTTTACGTTTAAAATCGTTAGCATTCGTTCGTGGTACAGAAGGACGAGTGTGATTATGAACTTTCCAACTTTCCTATCATGCACTTTGTTCATATTTGTACACCAACCGCCCCTCTTTCTTTGTCTCTCTCTGGTTGGTCTGCTTCTTCCTAAAAATCCCTTCTAATATATATATAAAATGATCTCCAGTTACACCCATTCCTGCAAATGGCAAATTTGTTTCGTTTATTTTTTTTTTATGACGGAATAACACCCATTTTATCAGTGGTCTAAGCATTTTTAATCTACTCTTTCTGACTTGGTTCTTGGCAGGAGCACATGGTAGCACATGAGATAAACATATGTTAACCAACCTGGTTTAGTCATTATGCAATGCGTATTGTATTTCAAAAATGCGCACTGTGGGTTTGCAGAGGTGTCTCAGTGGTTGAGAGCACTGGTTGCTCTTCCAGAGTTTCTGAGTTCAATTCCCAGCAAACTCACGTTGGCTCAGAACCACTTATACTGGGATCTGACACACTCTTCTGCTGTGCAGACGCTCAGGAAGACAGAGCACTCACAACCACAAACACATGTTTTAAAAATGTACACTGTAAACACATATAATTTTTAATTGTTATCTAAACAAAAGAGTACAGAAAATTGTTAGCCATGCTTATTATTGGCATATATACTAACAAGGAGATTACTAGACTTTCAAGTTTTAATCATGTGTAATATGACTGATAGGCTGAGTATCATATTTTAATCCTGTGCTGTCATTTATAATCTAAAATAATCTATAACGTCAAACAGTAATAAGGCAATGTCTTGGGGGTACATTTATGACTCCGTAGCTCTCAATGTAGGAAAACCTACTGATTTCTTTAAAACTTCATTGGTCACTTTTAGCCTAGCGCTTTGGTTTGAACCCCACACCTCAACCCTCTGGTCTCAGTCCACTGATCTTTGTTTGGGATTAAGCTACTGTTATGTGTCCCTAATATTTCAAGCATAGGTGTCTCTTGTTACCCTCCAGAGTGGTTCAGAGACCCCCATGGGATTCTCGAACACTCAACTGCCAAATCTCTTACTGTGATGCAGGGCAGTGCCCTTTCTTGAACACTCTGGAAAGAGAACTTTATGGGATGCCTGTATTGATCAGATAATTACCGTCAAGGCAGAAGTATGAGGCCACGTGAACATTCTGGAAACACAAAGGTCTTACTGAGTAGTTTTGAAGTGGTACTTGGGTGGCATGGCATTCTCTCTTGGGCTTCAAACAGCCACATGGCTTCGCTTTCCTGCCTCCCAGTCCCAAATCGGTGGGAACCACCCCAGCCCTTGGGCATCAACAATTTGGTGCTCTCCTTGTGTGTTTCAAGACTCTTCCTGTAGAGCCCCAAGTCCCAGGAAGGCAAGGACCATGCTGAGTTCATCACTGGATCTCAGTGCCAGCACAGCACAGATCTTACAGCCTCTTAAACACGGCCGGATCCCTACTCACAGCAACGTCTGACAGATACCCAGATCTATGTAGCTGATTTATTAACTCAGTGAACTTACAGGAACTGGACATGCCGTGTGTGTTCTAGTGGGAGCTTTGGTTTGGAGATGGATTGGTTACGTTCGTGCACGCAGAGACGGCTGCTTCTGGAAAGTTAATTAGTCATTCTAATGCTTGTGTCATCAGAACAGCACCGGAAGAAGAATGGCTCTGCATTCTTAAATAGACTATGAGGCACCTAAGACTGGGAGCCTGCCCTTTAACAACTTCTTAACGATCTTTGCAAATGAGCATCTCATACATCAAATTGCCACAGGTAGATCTGGCACAGGTAACTACCCTGTTCTGATTCCATTAATGGCTGAATTAGGTGAGGTTTTTACTAACAGTCGATAAGGACGGAACAGTTCCTGGGCAGCTCTTAGGCATGAAATACCCTCCCCACAAATCCTAGGAGGAGAGAGTAAATGATGTTCAAAGAGCTAAGTGTCCTCTTGCCTGGGGCCATGCACACACTGGAAGATGCAGAAATGAGACCAAGCTAGCCTCATCACCATGAATTGGCATAAAGCAAACTTAAAAGGTTGCACTTAGATAATGTCAATCGGTAGCTTGAGACAACAGTGCAAACCTTTAATCCTGGCACTCGAGAGGCAAAGGCAGAAGGGTCTTTTGAGTGTGAGGCCAGCCTGTTCTGTACAGCAAGTTCCAGGACAGCCAGGACTATGCAGAGAGACCCTTTCTCAGATAACAAAACAACAACAACAACAAAAAAACCCACAAACAAACAAACAAAAAACACACAACAGAAAATAAAGTCAATGGTCATGCTAACTGCAGTGTTATTTAGCTTTCTGCCACAAGGTCTTATGTTCTCTAGGTTAACCTTGAACTTGCAACCCTCTTCCTTCAGTGCTGGGATTTTAAGCCTGAACCGTCTCAGGTGGCATTACGTTATTTTCTACTTAGTCCCTCTTTGCTTGTGACATCAGTCATAAGTCCGTTTTACGTATGAATTTGGTTATCATTATTAGCTTGTTTTCATTTAGTCACAAAACATGGGTATTGCACAAAGGGAAATAGTGGTGATGGAAGGGTTTCTGCTCCTTGAATGATCCATGCAGAAAAATAGTCTCTTGTAAATCAAGATCTACAGTAATCGTGGTTTAGTGTTTTCCATTATTGGAAAAGACATCCTGTCGCTGCTGATTAGGATGTGGATGAGGACTGTGGGGACCAGCCTGCCATGCCTCTCAACAGACATTAATGCAGTGTCATTAGCACTGACTTCAGACTGTTGTGAGCAATAGGCAAATCAATAGGACCGAATGGCCGGAGATCTATAAAATGCTCATCTAATTTGTGAGGGGCTCTGAGAGAGAGGCACATATATTCAGACTCCTGTCAACTGTGCAGTAGGGGTGTCTGCTGCAGGCTACTCACCGTCGTAAGTGTAGATGCTGATGTTGCGGGGCTCTGGGTAGAAGCAAGAGCAGATCAGTGACAACATGGACAGCTCCTTCATTTTTTCCTTGTAGGCTGAAAGCAAAGATTCGAGATTAGAACGATTCGTCCACTGGATGTCCTCTTAACGCCTCTCTAAATCCCAACAATAATCATAGCCTCCTGCAGAAGGCAGGCTGCTTGGTTGGCCTTCCCGATGAATGAGAGAGGAAGGAAGCCGGTAAAAACAGTGAAAAAGGAAGCAGGAAGTTAGCAGAGACAGGCTAACTCATGTATGTGTGAGTCTTCTTCACACACGTTTAGGATTCTCGGGGGTTCATCCTGCATCTCCACTATTCATTTGGGGATAGTCACAGACTCATCCAGAGAGTTGTTAAGCAGCTACAGCGCCCTCCAGGGAACTTTGTTGCTGTTTTCTCTAAATCCCACACAGAGCTGAGATCTGATCGGAACCTCCCTCCCTCTGCAACACAGTATGGGCACCAGCCTCACGGAGGAGAAGCTGTAGATTAGCCTGAGCTGATCCCCCTGCTTCCACGTCCTGTCCTCCCCATGCCCATTTCTCCTCCAGTACTCCGGCTCTGGTAGACTGGTGAGCATCTCATGGCTGGCACCAGGACAAGAGTCTCCAGACAACAGAATTGGAACGAGAGGGTGGGACACCATCACTTTTGGTGGTTATTTAATTAGTAGCTTGTGATAAGGAAATGGATGTCTGTGGTCTCACAATGTAACCTCACATCTGCGAATTGGTGGGCTCTTTCAATCATCACCGGGGACACGGACGGTGTCTAGAACTTAGGGGAAGAAGGGATTCAGGCATTATTGACAGATACATCATTTATTGATGAGCAGGAAGCACATCCAACAGATGTTTCACCATGTCTAACACGTGGACTGTGGCCACATGTGGACGAGGGTAACTACGAATGTAGCCTAGCCGAAAACCACATCATCTTTTGTGTAACTCAACTGTGTGTTCCCCAACTGGACTTTTGCAGGCGGCATGCCGTAGTCAAGAGACGGACAAGGAATGCTAAACTAAGAAGTTTCTAGGAGATTTTAAACCTACGGTCTACTGATCTCGTAAGTGAGGAAACTGAGTCTCGAAGAGGCCAAAGTCATATATGACTGAAGACAAAGATGGGAACCCTGGATAAAAGGCAGTAGAGCGATCTCTACCAAAGCTGTCAAGGAGACATCCAGGCCTACTTTTAGAATAAAGTCCAGGGGCCACAGGGCTGTGTGTCTGAGAGTAAGATACAACCACACACAAAAGATCAAAGCTACAATTTCATATAGTTCAACTTAGCACATCCAGATCATCTGCTGAAGAAATCTCTGCTAGCTTATTTGCTAAAAATGAAAAACACAATCTGTTTTGTGCAACAGACATTTCTGACTGCAAATAATACAGTGAGGTATTGTATGTTAGGATTGCTACATTTTTTTTTGTAAGTGAATATAGTATGGTACTCAAACATTTATAAAATAAGCATACAGTTAGCCCTCCCCAGCTTTGGGTTCTATATCCATGAATTCAACCAGTCTCATATTGAACATAATTGAGATTAAAAACGGCTTCTGAAATGGCACATCCTAATTATGAAATCAATATTAGACTAGTTTCATCCAAAGCTGTGTTGTGTCAAGTAGATACATACATGTTTCTCTTATTCCTTGAAAATACAGTATAATGACCATTTTTACACAGTATTTACATTGTATTGGGTAATCAATAGATGCCTTAAAGTATAGGACAGGACATGCACAAGTTCTAGACAAATGCTATACCTTTTTAAATAAGGGACTTGAACATCTGCAAATTTTATATTCCCAGAGGGCCCTGGAAGTGATTTTCCCCGCACACTGAAGGATGACTGCATACCATATGCACATTGTAAGATCCAAGTTTTACTAAGAAGTAGAAATACAAAACCAAAAGATTTTCTAACCCATAAAGAAATATTAAGTTAAAGCTCTAGTAGATATGTTTATACTAATCATTCTTCATGTCTGTCATTAGTGACTTGGTAATTTTCAGTGAGCTCTCCCAGCTAGTAAGAATATACAGACAGCCGGCTGCTAACACATGGGGGGGGGGCTGTGTATAATGAACAGCAATTTATGCTAATAACTGAATGGTTTTTAATACTCTGTCCCCAAAGTCAGAGGAGAACTTTAACTCCTAATTTGGTGATATTTAGATATAGCACCTTTGAGGGCCAGATAGTAAAGTCTAAATCTTCATGAATGGGTCTAGAGCCCGTATAAGGGGACAGAGAGTTGGATTCATCTCTTTCTGCTGTGAAAACACACAGAAAAGCAACATTGTCTCCATCTTGAAATAGAACCATACCAGAGTCCCACCACGCTGCTACAAGCTCACAGACCCCCTAGTCTCTAGAGATTTATATAATCATATCTGTTGGTTGGCCAGGGCTAAAACACAGACTGAAATATTGGTTTAGTACTGTCCTAGGTGGTCTGGGGAAAAGGTAATTAATTGACCTCTGTGGCTGATTTCTTTAACAGTGACCTTACTTTTCAGTACAAGACAAAGTCTCACTACAAAGCTTTAGATGGCCTGGAACTTACTGTATAGAGTAGGCTGGACTTGAACTCATACATCCACCTGCCTCTGCCTCTGGAATGAAAGGCATATGTCAACATCACCTTTCAGTACTAATTTCACCAACGGCTCTGGCAGGCGAGCAGCGGTCATTGTGTAGATAGATTTTCACTTATGTGGGTTCTCTGAATCCCAGGGAACTCCACAGAACAAAGTGCAATCCCCGGGTGAGCTCTGGCTGCCCCTTGAGGTAAATCCTCACCTGGTGTTGAAGGGCCCCTTCCAGAGCACCTATGCCTGAACTTTCGGCCAGTAGCATGACTCCCTGGATTCTTATGCTCACTTAAATCTCCCTCAGAGTTGGTCTGAATACCCCTCTCTTATGTTGATTCTCACTAATGGTCATCTGTTGTTTGTTTTTCTGAAATTCCACTTTAAGCGTGTGTCCTGGGTTTCGTACGGCGATGAGAGACAGCGGACCCGGGAATGAAGACTGGGCAATGGTAATCAGGCGTGGTGTCTCGAGCCTGCGCCTTAGCACTCAGGAAGGAGCCTGATGCAGGAGGATCGCCACGTTTTCGAGGCCAGCCTGGGAGACCTTGTCTCGGCCTTCTCCCCTTTCTGCTAACATAAGGGCTGAGTTGTGTTTAAGGAAACAAAGCAGAAAAGATGGATTTATTTTGTTGATGTGGAAACAGGTTCTGAAACTTTTTACGTGTAGGACGGCGTAAGATTTGGCCTGCCAGCTCGTCTTGTGCTTTGGATGGTATTCTTTGCATTCCAGCGGCAGCCTTTTTTATAGGTACCCTCAACTGGGATTCAAGACGTCTGCCCCGAGAGCGGTTCTTCCTGGGTGTTCATTCCGTCCAAGGATTCTGGGTAAGACTCGTGAGTTTGGTCCCCTTCGTGCAGTATGCCTACTTACGTTAGGAACACGGCTATGCATGGTGTTCTGTGCCAGAATAGCAAAGTAACAGGAATACGCCGGTAAATTAAAAGAAATTTAAGCCAGGGAATTCAGTCTTCCGATTATCTGTAGGAATCTTCTGCGAGGGATCTTTAAAATAAAATGTTTTTTTTTTTTTTCTGTTTTTACTTATGTGTAGGTAATGTGTATTCCGCACGTGCGTGTGAGTGCGGATGGCCATGGAGGTACCAGGTTCCCCGGAGCCTGTGGACTTCCGGACGGTTGTGCGCTGTCTGTTGTGGGTGCTGGAAACTGAACTTAGGTCTCTGGAGGAGCGGAGGCTGCGAGTGTCCCAGCCCCACTGTGAGAGATTGTGAGAAGTTAATGAGGTGACAACACCTCTGTTGGCCACAAGTCCTGGTTTGCCTCCACAGTTCTAATTTATGTAAGCTGGTAATGGTCCCTTTCGGGGTTAAAAGCCACCCAGGTAGCCTTCATTATAGACTCCCTGGGGAGTGGGTGGGGATGGGATGGAGGGGTCTGTGGTGGAACGGGAGGGAGAGGGAACTGGGATCCATAGATAAAATAAGAAAAGATAAAACTAATAATTAAATTGCAAAAAAATATAAAAATACATGCATATTAAAAAGTGAATAAAAAAGTAGGGAAACACATTGAAAAGAAGTTATTTTATAAGAACCTTCCTTCCTTCCTTCTTCCTTCCTTCCCTCCTTCCCTCCCTTTCTGTCCTTGTTTTGTGGATGCCGGTGTGTGCCCTGTGGTGTGTATGTGGAGGGCAGAAGACAGCCTCTGGTGTTGGTCCTCATCTGTCACCTTGTTTGAGACAGGATTTCCAGGCTAGCTGGCCTCTGCATTTCTGGGGAAGCTCCTGTGTCCATCTCCTATCTCCCCACGGGAGACCTGGGATTATAGACACATGCAAGAGCTACTGTGTTACGGGGACTCGAACCTAGGTCCTTGCACTTGCACAATAAACACTTTTACCTGCTGTCATCTCTCCAGACCTCCCCCCCACCTTTTCAAGGATGTCTTCTTTATTGCTCCTTTCTGCAGGAGACACGTGAGAAAACCGTAGACGTTCAGGAGGTCAGGTGGTGTGATGTAGCTTAGGAAATGTGCAGTATGGAGGGAACAAAGAAGGAGCACAAAACTTCGTGAAAAATTTGCTAGGAAATAACTGAGTTTGGGACAGAGGTCTACAATACCACAGACTGAAGGGTAAGAGGTCTCTGTAATAGGGGTCCAAGGAGAATTTCCATGCAAAATGTAACTAAGCAGAACCTCATATGATGGGTTTGCTTGGAGAAGAATTGTATGTGGGTTAATGTACTGAAATTAAATAATTTGAATGCTTTTTAAAAGTAACAACAAAGAACTCCCCAGCAAACGCCAAGTGCTATGAGAAACATGCTTATGATTTCGCTATTGGTATCACATCCATTGAATTAACACTCATTTTCCTTTCCTGAATTTTGGAGTCAATGTATGTAAATACTTTTACCATGCCTCAAGACCAGGCAGAATTGAATTCATCTTTGTAAGGATGTAGGGGTTAATAGGTAATTCCATGTATTC